GGGGGGCTTTACCACTGAGCCACATCTCCAGCGGCCGCCCCCCGCCCACTTTTCTTTTTTTAAAATTTTGAGATAGAATCTCACTAAGTTGCCCAGGCTGGCCTTGAACTTAGACTTATCCTGCCTCAGTCTCCCACATGTGCCACTATGCTCTGCTTGGCTTCTGCCCACCTTAACACACAGCTGCCATTACTGCCCTATTTTATAACAGAAATTGGAGACTACCGTCTACCAGGAGAACAGTGAGCACTGGCTGAGCATTCAAGTTTGGTGTTGTAATCAGATTCAAGTTACAACAAAGTTAATGTATTGTCCCTGGAGTGATCTGCAAGGAGGTTAAACGTAGATGTTTAAGCAGGTGAGGGCTTAAACCAACAGCTTAAACAGCTCTTGGTTAATAGTCTTATAGTTAAGGTGTAGTTTTTTCCTTGGTCAACACAATAGGAGAATTCGGTGGAGTCACAGGCTGTTTTGAGGCCACTTTGGAACTGAGTCATTCAGGTCTTCCCACCTGGCTGGCAAAGTATGCCCATGGTGTTCCAGGAACTGCAAAATTTCTATCACTATCCCTGGGCACCCCCTCAGAAGTGAGCTCTCCATCCCTATCAGGAGGCTGAAATCAGAAGTCCTCCTCCATTTAGTCTTCTAGGCAGTGAGTGGAGGGCTGCCTCCCTTAAGCCAAGCCAGCCCTACTCATCCTAGTTATTAATTCAGAGGCTGTTAAGAGCCAAAAAGACATCTATGTAAATCATGCCCGACCCTCTTGTTTATTTCAGAACTTGGAAGTCTAAAGAATTAAGCATTTTGCTCAAAAGCTAGMTAGTCGGTGTCAGAGACTAGCATGGAAGCCAGATTTTCTCATGGTCCCACAGGGAGGCCAGTGTAGGTCATGAGAAAGAAGGGTGCAGTTTGAGAAGGCAAGGGCATGACTTTCAAGACGACAAAAGGAATGGCATCTCTGAAAGATGTTAGGAGAGCTGCAGAGACCCGTGGTATTTCTGGAAAGGATCTGGGGCCATGGAGAGAGTGAGTGTCTATCCTGTCCACCTCTCAGGCCTTCCTGCTGCTCTGTAGTCTCTGTGTAATTTATTTTGAGCTTCAAGGCTTGGCACCCACTCAAAGCTGGAAGAGGATGATTACTGCTCCTCAGTAGCACCAGGTGTTTTGTGGATCCAGAGGGGATTAACAGCCCCAGGGAGGCYGAGATCAAATATCTGATGGACTTCTGGGAACTGAGAATAGGACAGCAGGGCAACAGAGCAAGGTCACGTGCAAGGTCACTTGGAGAGACTAAAACAAATACTGGGGGGCAGAAGGGGCAACTTGGGTGCAAATACAGAAGAAAGCGGTTTTGGTATGAGCAGCCCTCATCTGCTTAGCACTGATGGGAGGAAGAGGGAGCGCAGTGTGTTGGACTAGTTGCTGTTTTTCCAGACACATGAAAATAGGAATGTATCTCCAGAGTCCAAAATGTACATAGCATGAGCTAACACTCCCTTTATTCTTAACCCTGGATGAGGTCCTGGTGAGAAACTGTGTCTACCCTTAGGCTCAAATAAAGGCAAATGCTGAGGACCTTGAGAGGGGTCAGAACCACACCATCCAAAGAAGGGTAATTTGAGCCACATACATAATTGAAAATTTCTAGTAGCCATAGTAAAATGGAACAGGTGAAATTAGTTTTAATAATAGATTTTATTTAACCTAAATGTTCAAGAAGCTGTTTAATGACATATTTTGCATTCTTTATTTTGTACTCAGTTTCTGAAGTCTAGTTTGTGTTTTTACACTTACAACACATTTCACTCTTTATTTGCCACACCCAAGTGCTCAACAGCCACGTGTGGCTAATGGTCACCACACTGGACAGCACAGGCTTAGCGTGAGAGCTGTTAAGTGATAAGAAAACAGGAACAGTAAATGAGAAAACATATACCCAGAGGGGGAGAAACCCCAAGGGTAAACAGCCTTCCAAGTAAAAGCTGCTTTGATACACATTAAATGGGTTCTATCTCCACTGAGGGTCCACCCCATGCTATACTTCCCTCCCCCCTAAAAAATTCAGGTTTACATTCCAGCTACTTGAGATGTTTTATTTAAATCTAAATAGGAAGAACTTGTCTCTGAGCTAATAGAGTAAATGTTTATCTTGCCTTCTTCCTTCATTTACTCCACAAACACTAAGTGAGGAACTTGGTCATCCCTACCTCTCACTAATGTACAGACATGGAGGCTATGATGATGTTTATCTTCTGCTCTGAGTGTGGCCTGGGACCAAAGAAGGTATTAATTGAGCGATCAATATCCCTCAGGTACCGTGGATCCTTAGGTTAATGATTGGATGCTATCTTTAATTTGTACACTATTCCTTTTTACAGAAGGTTCCTTTGAGCACCTAGAGTTTAAAAAAAAAAAAAACATTCAAGAAGAGAAATTATAGACCCTATTTCCAGACGAGGTAGAAATTAAGTGCYGCTCTCAGGGTCACACCAGCAATCCCATCGTGACCCAAGAGGGAGATGATGAATGGGATGAGATTCCAGGAGGCTCAGCTCTTATGCTCAGTAGTTTTGTCACCTTTTGAAGGCTTCAATCTGCACTGAGCCTTAAAATTTTCTCTTCTTCTCTCCCCAAGTCAAAGGGTTAGTACCAGAGTTAGATGAGGTAATGAATCTATATGTGCTTATAAAATATCAGGTTCTTTTGTACCATTTTCGATTCACTAATCTTCTTTTAAGCACCAAATTGTTTGCTAGGTGATCAGTTCCTGGCACAGCTTTGGCGTTAGGTTGATTAAAGGATGCTGGGGAGCTTTTGTAAGCTGTGGAGATCATGCCTGGAGATTGTTCACATCCTGTCTTTGTATTGCTTTGACCTGAGGTCATCAGGCCACCAGCTGGAGTGTGGATTTTTTTTTTTTTAATGAGAACAAAAGTTCTCATGAGGTCTGACCCAGACCAGTCTTGCCATACTCCAATTAGATAATCTCAGCATGAGGTAGTTGAAGTCTGCTACAACCTTGCCTCCCAAAGTTAGGCTGAGAACCAGCACCCTCTGCACAACCAGTAGAAATGCTGAGTCTCATAACATATGCCATAAGCACCAAGAATTTGCACTACRCAGCATCCCAGGCGATACCTGCCCACGCTTGAGCCCTGCTTAGTAGTAGTCAATGGAGGTCTCAGTTCCAGCAGCTGCTATGGCAGGCAACTCACTTCCTCTTAGGCAGCCACTTCGGTTGTTGGACAGCACTTACTTTTAGAAACTTGTCCTTTCATCAAGTCCAAACCTGACTGTCACTGTCACCCACTTGATGTGCCCCAAAGTTAGTTTCATTCTTCTGAAAGCCCACAGAGCAAGTACTTGGAAATGTCCCTTTCTCTCCTTTGTTACATGGAAGTCTTGATCCAGAAGCGAGGTGGGAAGTAAGTAGAACGGCACAAGGTCAGTCTCGGGCACCTGGCAAAGGCCTGCAGGTCATGAGACAATGTAGAGAGCATGGAATGGCCTCTTAGTTCTGTCTTTTCCTTCACTTCTGCCAGAATCTAAGGGCACTGGTTTGAGCGATTGAGGTTTGGAAGGGGTTTAGAAAACTTGAAGAGGCTTCCCAAAAGGATGAGAGAATGGAAGGGATGCCTGGGATGGAAATTGGTGGTGCCGGGTGTGCTGAAGGATGATGTCATTTGTAGTGGAGATGAACAGGAGGGGGTGGTTCTGTGTATGGAAAGAGCAAACCAGCAGCCTCAACTCTCTCCAGCTGAATGACATTGAGGAATGCACAAAAACCTCTCTGAGCATCAGTTTTTAGGGTTTTTAAAGAAGATGGGATGATCATCCCTCACCTGCCTATCCCCAGGGATTGTGTGGGACACATTAACAATTATGTCAGAGAGCATAGTTGCTAAGGTGGAGATGGTCTGAGGATGGAAGAGACCAAGCAGACAGTAGAGGAGCCATGAGACAAGTCTACACTCACTCGCYATATGACCTCAGAAGAGGTCCCCGMGTTCTCTTGGCCTCTCTGAAACAAGTGGATCCTACACAAAAAAAAAATGTCTAAGTGCCCTTCTACAAGGCATTGGAGTTGCTGTGGTTTGTTGCAATTATTGCAGCTTACATGGAGAATTTCTCCAAAGATGGCTTTTCAATATCTGTTCAGAAAGACTTCTTAGAGCTTGCAATTCAATCCTCTTTGAGGGAAGTGATTCCAAATAGTCTTTCAAAGAAGGCCTGGCCTCCATGATGGGAGCCCTGATTAAAAGGTGGGTCTGTGTGGCCTGAATTGCACCTGTTACCATATCAACATGTAGTACTGGTGAGTGATGAGTGACTGTTTCATCTCTACGTCTGTGTCAGGACACACAATCCTATTTCTGGAAGTAAACTCTGGCCTAGGAGATATCTGAACTTGCTTCATACCTCACTGGAGTATGTCATATGCAGATTTTTCCAGGGGAGTGGTCTGGTTTTACACTTCAGATAATACCCAGGAGTGTTTGACAAGTATTATTCTTTTTCAGTTTTTTTAAGTACCCATGCATGGCAGACCTGATAGTTTTGTGGGCCTGCTGTCAGAGGATCCTACTTAACAAAAAAATTGAAACTGGCTGTGTGGTACAGCAGCCATTCCCAAGATGTTTGTTAGCTGAGGGCAAAGGGACCAGTATGCATGGGAGACAAGTCTGTTTCTGAAGACAGCCTTTCCTGTCTCTCTCCTGCCCACCTGGGGACCCTGTGTTGTTCCCTGTCACCACACTGCAGCCATGTTTCGGATTTCCCATTCCATTGCCTGGATGCTTGCTTCTAACTCTGTACATTTGCATTTTCTCCTGTGCATCCACCATGTTGTCATGGAAACTCAGTGGCCATAGGCTGCGAGTGTCTGGTGTCATCTGAGTGTAATGGTGTGGTATGTGTATTTGCTCACACTTTTATTTTGACTCCTCGCCAATGTGACATCTGCTAAAATGTCTCCCTTATGATTTGCTTGGTGATCACAGCCTTCTCATCATTCATTGAGAGCAGGACCTGATCTCACAGAATCTGAAAAGAGCTATGTGGTAAGATGCCTGTTGAATTAGACCGTAGCTTTTCTAAAGAGAATCCTTACTGACTAGAGTCTGAGGTAATGCCTGGTTAACTCACAGAGCCATTATTTAGAAGCCAATGGCTATTATACTGCCAGTAGCTAGGCCACCCTCTTTCCCTCAGAAAAGCAGAGGAATTTAAAGAATATTTTTCTACTCTGCCTACATGTGGGATTAAATTAATGAATTAGTGCATGACTGGGGATACATACTTGTATTTCTTCCCTGAGATTATTCCATTTGTAACAGTTGCTCACTAATTACAGGCTTTTATGCTTCTGCCTTTTTTTTTTTTTAATATTCATACTAAATCCCAAATTCTTCTGTATCTTACCTGTTTTTCCATGCTTACGCCTGGATCCCTCCTGCACTCCACTACTGGAAATCTATTTTTTTAACCTGGATCTTCAACTCTGTTTTTTCCCTGGACTTATGTACTACGTCTGGAATGTTACATCTCTTCCTCTCTTTCTTTTTTTTTTTTTTTGTCCCCACATTGACTGTTTTATGGGGGTTTCTGGATATCTCGGGGCCACCTCACAGGAAGCAGTTTGCAATGAGATCATAAACATTGCCGAGAAATCTGTTCATTACTGCAGCACTGTCTCTCATCCCCTTGACTTTCATCACAAGGTATCCCCTTCTGACAATAAATCATCTTTAATCATTTCTCAGCAACCTCAAGCCCAGCAGCGAAGAGTCACCCCAGACAGGAGTCAAACCTCACCAGATTTGTAAGTACACTWGGGAACCTTTGGTGCTCACGTTCTTGGTGGACTTAGGCCTTAGAGAGTGGATCATTGACTGACTGTGAGAACAGCCATGGCGGGGGTGGGGGTGGGGGTGGGGGGTTGGGTATGAGCAAATCACTCCCTGGTCCTCTGCAAATTTCTAGTGAAGGCCATGTTTCCTATCAAGCACTGTGAAACACAGGTTGCAGGATTATAAAAGAGATCACAGAGAGAGGTAGACTTTCAGTACAAGGGCAAATGAGGGTTGGGCTCACCTGTCTCGATTCTAGTGTTGTAGGGAATGTAAAGAACGGTTAATTCTGAGCATAAATGAATGAATAGGTTTTATTGACTCATTCATTTATTAGTTTAAAACATGTATTGAGTATCTCTTGTTTTATGCACATAGGGGAAAATTCTGTTCACAGAGCAAGGGTGAGTTGAACCAAACATTGAGAGATAATTGGATTGTGAAAACTAGAATAGGGAGGAAAATGTCTTCCCAGCTGAGGGGACCATATAGGCAAAGGCATTGAGTGGGTGGGGCTTGGAGAACTTCAAGAAGGTCTGTGTGACTGCAGTGTGTGACTCAGAGGAAATGGGGATTAAGCTCAAGAAGTGGGGTGACGTCAGATAGTAGATTTCAGTAGTGTAAATAAGTTTGGATTTTATTCTACCAGCACTAGAAAGTGTCAGAAGATTACTGTATTAAGGAACATACCGATCATATTTTGTTTGGGGTAGATCACTCTGGGGGGTAGGTTTTAGAGTCAAGAGACAAAGATGCTAATGAGAAGATACTAATGCAGTGGAGAAGGAATGGGCTCTTTGTAATCCTCTTAAGTGTGGAAGATTACCCATGGAGATACCAGGGTAAAAGGGAGTAGCCAGCAAAGGGGACTGAGAAGGGGCAGCAGGAGATACAGATGAGGGTCTAGGAGTACTCATTTTCACAGACCAGAGCTGGCAGCTGCAGTCCAGCAGTGCCACCTGGCCCCAAAAGGCCAGGAGTAGGTTATGACAAACGTCCACCAGGTGTTCCCATTGGTAAATGAAAAACTACTCATGACCTCTAATATAGCTAGGTTAGTAGGGAATTGCCAGCCTGTGGTCCATTAGAAAGTGCTGATGAATGAATTTGATGGTGAATAGAAGTGCATGTGTGGCAGTAGGGGAGAGGGGGCTTATAGATTAAGGAAACAGGGATATGGCAGAGACGGAAGCATCTTTATATTGGAGGAGAAGGAGCTGCCAGAATTGAGAGATGTGAGAAGATCTGAGTAAAGCAAGAGCCCAAGGAAGGGGATTCAACATGGCTGGGAGAAAGGCCCCTTGCACACCAACAGAGCAGAAGGTGAACAGAGACATAGTCTCAAATGTGAGGAAAGATCAAGGAATCCTCACAGCAAGCTTTCATCCGAGGAAGTGGAGGTGGAGTACGGAGTGCTTGGTAGAGAGAGGGGCACCAGAATTGGCAGGGGCGATGGAGCGAGGGCTTGAGGGACAAGGACCCGAGCTCTGTGAGGCCCATAAAAATTTAAGTTGAGTTGGGAGCCTGGGCAGCAAGGGTGCTGACTTTTCCCCAGCCAGGCTCTACCATCTGAAAACAGAAAGTAGACATCAGGAGTTATATCCCAAAGTGGCCATGGTGGAAATTAAGAGATTTGGACAGCCAGACATAAGAATCCAAGTTAGGTAGGAAATAGCAGACAAGTACGGAAACATGAAAAAATGTGTTAATTTATCAGCTAGAAATCTATCTGCATCTCTTAACTCCTCATTGTTTTTACAATGGCCTTCTCCAATAGCCAGAATGTACTGTCTCTGGGGTTAAGTAACTTCTGATTTTCCATGATAGTCTATGTATATTATCCCAGTTTAAGAAAAAGCCTTGTTTTACTTTAAAGACCAGAGTAGGAGGTGGAAGGGGCTCTAGACAGAAAAGCTTGACTGTAGTAATAGAATTAAACTAAATAAGAGGCCTGATCATGACTTGCTTATCAGGAGTTCCTCACCCTCTCWGTCTCAGTTATTAATTTCTATGTTGAATGCATTTCTCCAAATGCCATTATTAGAGAAATAGTCAATTAATCCCTACTGATGATTAGGAAATGTTACTTAAATGTTAATTTGATAGAAATGGGGTTTAAAAGCTTGTCATTTAATCCTAGTGATATTTGAGTCACTTTTTATTGATTTTTTTCTTTCATTTATAGATTTAGCTACCAAGCATTATATAGCTATGTACCACAGAATGATGATGAGTTGGAACTCCGGGATGGAGATATTGTTGATGTCATGGAGAAATGCGATGATGGATGGTTTGTTGGTAAGAATCTCATCAAGTTTTTATTTCTAGTTGAAGAAAGAACTAGGAGGGATGAGCCATGCAGGAAGCTGTCTTCTCTGCACAGAAAGAAGGGCCTGCTCAGCTCCTGCCCCATAAATGGGATGCTGAGCCACTGGTCTCTTTACTCTTAAGACTGTGTGGATGTTACTAATGTTGGATCTAAAAYCAAGCATGCCAAATTCTGACACATGGGAAGGGAATTGTCAAATTCATTACTGTTATTAATTGGGTCTCCTTTATATTTCTGTTGTGCATGTCTATTTTCATTTGGAAATTTTATTTTTAAAGCTCTTTATGAAACAAAATAAGAAAATTTTGACTTGTCTACCATGAGAAATTCAAGCTTATGTGTGGGTTTTACACAGATCTTCTTAATCTACTCTAGGCTTCTAATAACTTTGATCAAAGCAACCTGCTTAGTTATAGCAGGTGTAGCTCCATGTTAGAGCATTGACTTAGTTGGTCTAGCACGTGGGAGACTCTAGGTTTCATCCCCTGTGTTTTGACAACAGCAAAGAATTTGCCTATATGAGAAGGGGAGAAAAAGATCAACACTGCTCAGATTCTGTTACAAGCCAGAAGCTGTGCTTGATGTGCTTTTATTGATGATATATCAACGAACGGCCCTGTAAACAAGAATTTTCTTCATTTAACAGATTCAAAAAGTGAGGGCCAAAGAGGTTAAGTTACTATCCCAGTTCACCCAGGTAGCAAATGATGGGATCTCAGACCACCCAAACTCTCCTCAGACCCACATTCTTACTGCTGCTTACCTGAATTTAGTGCTAGAAGCCACTGACTTACTCTGTGCCTTGATTTTCTTCTTCTCTCTAAAGACCAACTTTCCCCTGATCTCTCTGGAAAAGCTTTGCTCTAGCAATGTCAAGGCTGGAGTGGTGAGAACAGTAAGACTTCAGCATCAATGGGAAGTCCGGAAGATTTGCTTTGGCCCTACCAGCTTCTTAGAAAGTGACCCCATCCTTCTGAGACCCCAGGAAGGTCAAAGCCCTCACTACCTTAAGTCATTCTATTCAGGAGAAAGTAAGATCTGAGAAGCAGTGGCCAGCTCGATGCACTGAGTCCAACAGAAACACCAGGCGAGCCGTGCAGGAAATACCAAATTTTCTAGAAGCCACATTGAAAAAAGTCAAATAAAACCAACCAAATTAATCCCAATATATTTTATAAACCAAATACATTCAAAATATTATAATTTGAACATGTAAACAACATAAAGATGACTAGTGAGATATTTTACTTGTTTTCATACCAAGTGTTCAGTTTAGAACCCAGTGTATGTTTTCCACTCACAGCTGAGCAGATTTCCACCTAGCCACATTTCAGCTTCTCAGTTGCCACTCTGGCTGTTATCTTAGAGAGTGCAGCTCTAATGTATATTAGCTCTTAAACTCCTTCATGAGTATTTCCTTTTTTTGTTTTAATTTTAATTTTGGTGCTGTAAATTGAACTCAGGGGTGCTTAACCACTGGGCCAAATCCTTGTCCCTTCTTGTTTTTTGTTTTGAGACAGGCTCTTGCTAAGTTGCTGAGGCTGTCTTTGAATTTACAATCCTCCTGCCTCAACCTCCCAAGTCACTGGGATTACAGGCAGGCACTACTGAGTCTGGCTGAGTATTTTAATGTAAAGGCACCTATTCACCAATGGAGGCATCCCCAGTCACTGGGGAAAGGAAATGCTTTGGATATCTTTCTCACATGCTTCAATCACTTTGAAAAGTAGCCTAGTATTCAGAATACAAGCAGTAGCCTGTCAGAACTCATTTTTTTCTCATCCATAAGGAAAGGTGCTAACCAGTATACGAGTACAAGTACAAGTGAGTGGTTATCAGCTCTGGTTTTACCATCTCAGTTCTTTTTACCCTTCTTGACCAGCCTCCCTASGGGTGCAACTAGATGTTTCGTGGGTCATTAGCCTTGACACATTCTTTTAGTTTAGAAGCTTCACTTGGCAATGATCCCAATTCATTCATCGTGGCTGCTTGAGGTGCTGTGTTCAGCAGGATTCTGGAGCCAAATCCAAGCCAGCTGACAAAAGGGTGCAGTGTTAAACTGTGATGCTTTCTAATGAGAGGAAAATGATGAYACAACCTATATCAGCCACCCCTGCTGTAGAGGGACTCCCAGGGGAGGGGCTTGATGAGGGACCAGCAAACCCAGATTAGGAGCAACCCAGGAAGGGCTTTGTTCCCAGAGGACTCCATGCTCCTGGTTCAGTGGGACCCTAACAAGGTGACAGGGAGCCAGGTCATAGGGTTTAAGAGGAATTTCTTTTTGATGTGTAGTCATCATCGTAGTCAGTGGGCTGTTAGAAATTCTGCCGTTCAGAAATTCTAAATCCCAGTTGTCTTGTCGTGTCTTGTCTTATGCTGATTTCTCCAAAAGAAGAAATGTCAGGAAGAGAAATGGCTGGGAGTCAGGAGACCTGAATTCAGATTACGCCTCTGGCACTTACTCAGCTAAGGGTCCTCAAGTGTTATTTGAGYTCTTCGAGTCTGGATTTCTTCATCTGAAAAATAGGAATAGTAGACATGCCTACCTTTCTTAACAGCTAGCATCATTTTGCAGCCAAAATGAGATAAGATAGGGGAACTTGGTTTGGAAATCATACAGTGCTTTAGAAGCTGCCGGATTTTAAAAGTGATATTCAACCAGAAATCTCTACAGTGCTCTCTCTGAACAYAGTGAGTGGATCTTCTCATTTTGTGTATGTGTTTGTTTTGCAGGTACTTCAAGAAGGACAAGGCAGTTTGGTACTTTCCCAGGCAACTATGTAAAACCTTTATATCTATAAGAAGACTGAAAAACACAGAGATTATTTTTATTGGAGGATGAAGCATAATTCGTGAACCAGTCTCTTTATTTAAATGTCAAATCACTATGAAAATCAATGCAGTGGATAAAGTAAGAAGAAGTAAAAGACAGGAACAGAGAAATGTTGTGTTTAAAACCCAAACCTGTCTAAACTTATTATATATATCAGGGCTGAACTGTGTGCTGAACAGAAAGAATTGAGGCAACTCTACATTCACTTAGCTGCTTCTGGAAGCTGCTCCAGCCTTCAAACTCCCTTCTGCCTCTTGGATAATCTGACCTGGAACACAGTCCAAGAGCAGAGTTAGCCACAGATGCTCCCTGCTGCCCCAATCTTAAATTCCATCTTGAAGGGGTTCTTGAGCCTAAAGGGGCCCCAGGCAAATAGGTTTCCAGCCAGGTTCCAAAGGTTCCAAGCCTGAGCATCCACTGACTACCCCAGCTTCCATGTCTGGCTGCCCTGGGGCCAACTGAGCCCCAGTGCTCTAGAGGTCAGTCTGGGCTGCTGAGCTGTCTCTTGACAATGGTGGTGGCCCCCAATTGGCCCCAAACCATATCCTCCCTGGACCTGCAGAGGTACAGTTGAGGAAGTAGAGGCAAAACAGGTACCTTGTGCCATCAGCCTGCTGTGCAACTTTGCCAWCGACTGCCCTTCTTCCAGATGAAAAAGCTCATGAGGTTTGTACTGAGAATTGGGGAGCAGATGGCCAAGCAGATAGATTACATTTGTATTTCTAAGTGATTAAGTCGAGAAGCCCTGCAGCCCCAGGGGTCATTTGCAGTGTGTTCTTTTCCCATATCAGTGGCTGTTATAAACAGTCATCACTAGGCATCTGCAGCTGCAGCTGTATTTATCAGAGCACCATTGCTAACCTTTCTGGCTTGTATTTGGCTGGGACAGTTTGGGATTGGTAGGCTTAATCCAAAGTGGGATGTAATGATTCATTTAACACATGTGACATATGCTGACTGCTGAAATATACATAAGACTGCTCCAGGCCTAGAAGGCCAGTTTTATCTCCTGGTACAAGTTCAAAGACCACTCCTAGCGTAGTCACCCACAGTTTGGAATTCTCATGCACCCAGTGAGGCTTCTGTTCTCGATAAAGGCGTAGGTGCAGTAGCCTTAGTGTGAAGCAGTGATTCTGTCACTACTCGGACAACCAGGAGCTCTGTCCTTTGAGGGTACTGGATCTGAGGAGGAAGCCCTCCAAATGTCCTGACAAGGACATTTGTTTAGGGGTACTTAGTCGCAACTCTGTCCATGTTGTATTAAGGGAATTTTTTAGCTTCTATGTTAGATCTCTTAGTGACACAAAGATAGAAGTGCCCCATTCCTTGCCCACCAGGAACTCAGAAGCAATTGGGGAGATAGACACAGAGAAAGGAACTTAAGAGAGACTGTGATAAGTGCTAAGAAGGGTGCGAGAGGAAGAGATGTATTTCTCCTGGAGAGATCCTAGAAAGCATTGTCATATTTCTGTCTCCATTAACTCTCTRTTGAATAGCTAGGATGCTGGGAGAACCTTTGTCTGATGGTAGCTTATGGCTAGAAATACTTGGAACTTTTTCCAGAGTCTCCAAACTTTCATACTCCCCACAAATACATTTCCAAGGTCACAAATAGGAGTAGCAAGTCTAAGTGGCAAGGGTGTGTACTAGAATGCCTGGTTCTCTGCATCTATCTCAGAAATACACCAAGACTATTGTCCCCAAGTCTGGAGTCTTTAAAAAAAAATAAAAAGTAGGCAAAATTTGTCTTTAGTTAATCTCTTCCCCAGTTGCTCTCCCAGATACCCTTCTTAGAATCCCACCAGCCTCCTAGGGCCCACCAGTCAGCCACAATCCCCTCACTTTCTCCCTATCCTCTAAAGGAGGCTTGCAGGAAAGAAACAACCTCGGCTTCATTCACACTAAAGTGTAAATGACTGATGAGAAGAGGGTGTTACCTCTTTCCAGAGACATTTGTTTTTAACTAGGACAGAGCAAAGCCTTTACCCCAAGGGAAAAGGTTGTGGAACTGTAGGGGAGGGGGGTTTCTGGGTAGAAAGTGTTCTGGATTTTCTTTAGGACCCAGTGAGAGTAAGACCTATTGTTTGTGGAAGGTCTGCTTCACCAGGGAGGGCACTATTTTCTGCCTCTCTCTGGGGGCTACAATAAGGATACAAAAGCACGGTGCGCTTGCGCACTGCATTTCACCCACTTTGGAATGTAATCCCTGTACTGGCTCATGCGCCTCCTGTTCTTCCTTAGATGCAAACCATTAACAACACAATCTTATTAAGAGTTTTTTGAGGGGTGCTTCTTGATTAAGTAGGTAATTTTGAACACCTCTTTAAATACAGCTAGAAAATAAAACCAATTTGTAAAGCTAGATTTGCATATGATGCCAGCCTCACGCATTTGTATATCTCCAGAAATTCCCAAATGCCTCACTACTGTGCCCGACTTTAATAAAATCATATGTTCAAATTCGTATCACTTCAGTTTCCTATGTATGAGAAAACAAGGGAGCAAAAGTTTCCCATTACCCTTTTGTCTTCAAACATTTAGTAATATAAAGTACCTATTTTTATGCTGAAATGTTTATACAGGTTTATTAATAGCAAGTGCGACTAACTGGCGGCATGCCTCGAGACACATTTTGATATATTAGCAGTGCTTCCAGGTAAAGGCAAGCCCCAAACTACTAATCTTTTGCAGTCTCTCTGGGATCAGTAAAAGAAAAAAAAAATCACATGCGTGAAAAGTGGGACTGTAAATATGTATATTTAACTTTGTATAGGCCATGTACCTACCTGTATAGAAAATAATTTTAAAAATTTGAATGAATGGGGAGGACAATAAGGAAGTCATGAAGTTTTTCCATTTTTATTTAAATGAAGGAATTCCAAATAACTCACCTGCAGACTTTTAGCACAAAAATAGCCATTGCAAACTGTTAAAATTTATAATAAAATCATTCTTTTGGGAAGAGAAGGTAACTATAATCTCAGTTTTTGTTTTTTGTTTTGCAGTGCTATTTATCTGCAGTAGTATTAAGTCCTATTGCTAGAACAGGTTACTACAAAAAAATTATATTCTGAAAGAAAAATAACTGACATTATATATAACTGATTAATTTAAAGTATTGCCATTTAAATGACACACTGAGAGCATGTACTATGCAGACACAGATTTTTCTGTTCATTTATTTTTCTTTATTGCAGTGGATTGATTTGATAAATAGATGTGCTGAATTACTACCTTTGCTGTACATATTATTTAATAAACTTTATTCAGAATTGTGTGGAATGTTTGTTCTTGCCATTCGTTGGTTCCTGCCTTTGTCAAGCTTCTATTCCCTGCTTCTCCCTCACACTCCTGTCCTCATGTCCACTCCCCCACTCCCCTGCAAGTGCTAGGCAAGGGCTCTACCACTGAGCCACACCCTCATCCTGTTTTTAATTAATGGCCACCTGGCTTCTACCCTGCTGGAGGACATCATTTCTTACCTTACTTTTTTCTCAGTAACTCCATGGCCTTCTCTAAGTTTATAACTGTTGACTATTTTACCTTTCTTCCTAAAGTATGTTGTTCTGATAACAAAAATAATGCACATGTCTTTTAAAGCAAAAGTGAAACATTATAAAATATGCATAATGGATCTTGATTCACTCCTCAAGACATGGGAAAACATAGTATTTAGTTTTTCTAAATCAAATTAGATCTGGTTCATGAGTCATTTCTTACTATAGTGGGTTTCTTGGTTTTTCCCCAAAATGGAGTGTGTGAAGCACTAAGTGTCTGGTCTCCCTACCATCCCATACCATGACCACCTCCACCTTGTTCCAGGGTGGGTTCTGTTGCACATAGGGCTCTCCCCTAAGAGAAAACCCAAACCTCCACCCTCTCCGCCCCGACACTGTCTTTCCTTTCCCACCTTGTCCAACTCACAGCACTAGTCCTAAGTGCTGGACTTGAGCCTCAGGCAGGCCTGGGAGAGGCGTTGTCTTCCTGGGCCCTGGTCACAGGCACTGCTAACCTTTCCCTCCTGCCCTCATTGCTTTCAGCAAATCCATCAGGGTATCTTCAAACTGCAGTTAGAACTCAGCCATTTCTACCATTATACTTCAAGTCATTTTCTCTCCACTAGAGCATTGCCATAACTTTCTGTCTGTTCTCTGGGCTTCTACCCTTGACAGAGCAACCAGGGTGGGATCATTCTACAGGTGATCCAAAAACCCTCTGAAGATCTCTCAGAGGATTAGATCAACAGGCTCAAGTTCCTAGGCATACCGCCCCGCCCCCCACTGTCCCTGACCTCATCTGCTAGTTTCCCATGGTTTGTTCCAGCCCTCAGCTCTCCTGAAGGTCTCAAGCCCGTCGAGCATGCGTCAGTTCCAGGGCTTTGTGCTTGCTTTTCCCTGTGCCTGGGAGATCCCTTACTTAATAGCCACTTGGCTTCCTTCCTTCCTTTAGGTCTTTATGTTCCCTTGTCAATAAGGCTTTCTCTGACAACTTTGTATACAACTGGAGCCTATTGTCTGCACCTCCAGCATTCTATCCTCCTTTTCTTTTTCTATGTTCCTTTATAACACTTACCACCATCTAATATTTGTCTTCACAGAAAAATCCCTGCGGGCTGGGGTTGTGGCTCAGTGGTAGAGTGCTTGCCTTGAATGTGGGAGGCACTGGGTTCGATTCTYGGCACCACATATAAATAGAAAACAAAAGTCCATCAACAACTAAAATGAATAAAATAAATAATTTTTTTWAAATCCTGTAAGATCTGAGGGTAGTGATTTTGTTTTGCACTAGGACACTTGGTCCTTTTCTGGTCAAATAAATGAGTGAATGAATCCCTGAGGCCAGAAGACCTAGGACTCAATATGTTCTACAAACAGCAAAAGAAGGAAACAAACCATGTTCTTATGGCAGCAGAAACATAACAAATTAACTTCCAACTGAATTGGGCTAATAAATAGATAGTGAGAGTTTTGTAATTATATTCCTCCTCCTGCATAGATTGCTGCCGACTGTCTGCCGTGTGATCCTCTGAGCTTGCCTTTTTGCATATACTAAACACAAGCCTCTAAATAAATGCTTTACATGGTCTTATACAAATTTTCCCCTTAATAGATCTTGGACATAGTTCCAAAATTTATTTAACCCAGTCCCTTATTGATGATGCAAATGTGTTAGGTTATTGCCAGCTTTTTACCACAATAAACAATGCTGCTTTGTGTAGAATGGTTGGCTCAGAGAGCAGGGACGTTTCAAATCCTAAGAAACTGTCAAATCGCCTTCCTAAAAGTACCAATTTATTCTCCTGCCAAGTCCACAGGAGTGTTTCCCACCACCCAATTAAAACTACTCCACTGTCAGCTTCTGTGAAATGCTTCTCTTTGGTTTTCTGGCTCTGGTCAGCCCCTTCACAATCCTCTTTCCAGATCCTTTGCTGCTTTCTCAGCCTTCTGATATTTTCTCTCAACACTTGCTCCTTCAGGGAGCAGATTCCTCCTAATATAATTATGGCCCAAAGAGTGGATTGTAGTGGGGCCTTTTCCATGATTAAGTGGTAGAAGGCTGACACTCAGGCATTTGTTGAGACATACCAAAAGGAGTTGGAACTCGCCTCAGGCAGGAGCGAGTCCAGAGACTCCAACTTTCTTCATCTGTATTTATCTTATTCTTGGCTCTGTTGGTCTTGTTTGGCTACATTTTCACCTACTGAGTACAGCAATGGGAAACACGGCTGCAGGCGGCTCTGGCCTCATTTCTTTCAGTTCTCTGACTTGATTCTAGAGGCAAGAGGCTTTCCTATTTGGCATTCCTTGAACACAATTCCAGACCCTGGCAGGTCCAACCTGAGTTTTTTTTTTTTTTTTTTTTTTTTTGCTTCCCTGCACTCATCACTGTGGTCAAAGGAGGTGAAGTGGGATTGGCAGCTCTACCCAAACTTTACAGAATGAAAATCCAGGGAGGGGTGACTAGTATAAAAAGAGGGGAGCAGGAAGCACTGGACTTGGAGAGTTATTACAGCAAACTTGAGAAAATGAAACATCATTGTGCTGTCCCAACATGAACTTCAGTGTAGCCGAATGCAGGCTGTGTGCGGAAGGCCCCTCAGTCAAGGTCTTGAGAAGAACACAGTGGAGGATGACGTCCATCCTGTGGAGGGGGCCAACAGTGACCACGAGGGCACCGCAGGACTGTATCACATGCTAAAAATATCAGAACTCTTCTGGAGGAAATAAAAATGTTTGGATGAGTTGTATATGGGTGGCTTTGCCAAACCTTAGCGTGTAGAAATGAATCCTGGCTCAGGAACACTTAGCCAGTGGCTTTTAGGGCAAATGAAAGAAATCATCTCTTGATTCAGGTAATTCATAGATAAATTAGATGAGAAAAGTTTCAGATTGAAAATACACTGGCCATCCCTTACTCTGTGAGGGACACATTCCAAGACAGAGTATGCCCCAAACCACAGATAGCTCTGATCTCTATGTCTACTGTTTTTTTTTTTCCCTATAGAAATAGAAAGCTTAATTTATAAATTAGGTATAAGAGATTAAATAATAACTAACATAACAACAATTATAACAATGTACTGTAATAAATGTGATAGATATAAAGGTCATCTCTCTGGATATCTTGTACTCACACTTCTTACCACGGGAACTGAAACAACAGAAAGCAAATCCACAGATAACAGGATGACTACTGTATTCATGAAAATTTAAGATAAACCCAAGGACACAAAAAGCCATGATGCAAAAGTTCTGGATGACTCCATGACACTTTGAGTCTGTCCTGGTGCATGAGTCTGCTGCTCTTCCAGGGGCCCCACTCTGTCATTGTCAGATGTGAAATAACCAGGTTGACTGAGAGTGTCTGGCTCCTTCTGACTTTCTTGTTTCTAAATTTTTTTTGATAGACAAATATGAAAAGGGGAAGTGGATCTGAGAATCACCTGCAGTAGTGGTCTAAATTACATAGACCAAGGAACTCAAAGCATGGTTTGCAATCAAGTCCAGAGATTCATAATATCCAAACTATTTTCATAATAATCATAAGATGCTTCAGCTTCCAGGAATGTCTCTGGAGACCCTCACTTTCTGGTATTCACATCTTGTGTGGTCCCTTTCCCCCATTTTATCTGGTCTGTGGATAGAATATGGCAGAAGTGATGCTATGTGAATTCTGAGGTGAGGTCACAAAAAACCTTTGTGAGTGCTGTCTTACTCCTGGACCACTTGGCGAGAAGCAGACCACAGCTTAGGACTTCTGCATCCCAGGTGTCTTGCTGAGTTGGGTCAGTGTGCTAATTCCTCCTCAAAGGAATTATTAGACAGGGCCATGGGCTGAGAGTCTGATCTGAGTTCAAATACGGTCTTTGATCCTTACTATGTTGTAAGACATGAGAAATTCCATTTAAACTTGGGCTTCCTCAAGTAAGAGGGGAATATGGCTGATCAAAATGAGGTTCAGTTAGGAAGGAGGAAGAAGGAYATTTGGAAGGCAACTTGCAGTTCCACCACTGAGCTCTGTAGTCCTTCCAATGCCCACTGTGTACCCACACTTTTCCATGCATTATCTACTTCTCATACCAACTCTGTGAGGTAACCATTCTTATCTACATGTACAGGTGACAAACCAGACTCAGGAATTCAGCCCAAGGATATACCCACAAGTATGTGGATTCAGTCTGACTTCAAAGCCAGTGTTGTCTCCATTGATCACACTCTGCTGCCTCCATAGGACAGACAGCTGGAAAAATTCATAGACCAGCATATACCTCTGGATTATCTAAAGTTTACCAAAAGATGACAACATACAAGCATGATCTCGTGGAATAATGATAACTGCTAACCGTTTGATGAACATCTACCATAGGCTTCAACATTAAAAGCTCAGTGGAAGGTCCATATCCCTTCTTAGTCACTGTTATGCCAGAACCAAGGCAGTAGCATTGGAACAGAAGAAATCTTCATGCTGATTCCTTGTCATCTTGACCCTACACAAGAGCCTTGTGAGGGTTGCTCAGCCCTGGGCYTCTGCTTCCTCACCCTTGATCACCTGCACTTTGGCTTACCTATGTGTTGCTATAGGTCCCCAAATCTCAAAGATCACCAAGAACTTTACACTCCTATTTTCTTTATCGGGTAAAAAATGATTTTGGCTACRCTAACAAATGTCTCAACACATGACAGCTTGTGTGACACTAATGTGTCTCATTATCTCTCAGAAAAGAAGCTAGGACTCTGCTTGGTTTTTCTGATTCTGTTGGCTTTTCATGATG